AATTTATGTAGAATTGGTAACAGTTCTTCTTTAAATGTTTTATAAAATTCACTTGTAAAACCATCTGGTCCAGGGCTTTTCTTGGTTGGAAGAAAATTTAAAAAATTAAAAAAAAAAAAAGTCTATCTTTCCCAACTTAACTGATTTCATCTCCTCGTCAAAAATCAATTTACCATAGATAGATGGGCTGATTTCTGGGTTCTCAATTCTACTCCATTGATCTATATGTCTGTCATTGTACCAGCGCCATGCTATCTTGACCACCATGGCAGTGTAGTAGGATTTGAAATCAGGAAGTGAGATGCCGCCTAGCTTGTTTATCTTTATAAAGAGTGTTTTGCTTATTTGGGGTCTCTTTCCATTCCAAATTAAATTGGAGATTGCTTTTTCCATCTCATTGAATGAAATTGGTATTTGTATTGGGATTGCTTTGAATGTGTAGATTGCCTTTGGTGTATTGTCATTTTCACAATATCGAGTCTTCCTATCCAACTCCTGATTTTTTTTTATGGTTTCAATTGTTTTTCTGTTTTCCATTTCATTTATTTCTGCCCGAATTTTTATAATTTCAGGGATTTTTTGGAGGGTGTCAGGTTTTCTTGCTGTTCTTTTTCAGTTTGTTGAAGATATTGGTCTAGCCAGGCATCGGTTATTTTTTCTCCTGTCTTTTAATGTGTTTGATTAGTACTATAAATTGACCTCTAGTTACTGCTTTGGCTGTTTCCCAGGGGTTTTGGTAAGTTGTGTTTTCATTGTCATTTGTTTCAAGAAACTTTTTTCTTTCATTTTTTATTTCTTCTAGTGCTCACTTATGTTTAAGCAAGGTATTGTTCAGCTTCCAAATGAATAGGTTTTTTCTTCTTTATCCTTTTCTTACTAATTTCTGACTTTGTAGCATTGTGGTTTGAGAGGATGCTTTGTATTATTTCTATGCTTTGAATTTATTGATGCTTGCTTTGTGTCCTAAAATGTAATTTATTCTGGAAAACATTCCATGAACATTGGAGAAGATTTCCTGTGTTTTTGGGGGTGCCTGAAAATATCTATGAGATCAAGTTGGTTTATTACCTGTTTTAATTCTTCAGCATCTTTATTGAATTTCTTTCTGGAAGTTCTATCTTTTCTTGAGAATGGTATATTGAAGTCTCCAACTACTATAGTAGGCTATTTTTCAGTTTTGTTGACGTTTGTTTTATGTATTTTGCAGGTCTTTCATTTGGTGCCTAGATACTTTTTATTATTATATCTTCTTATTCTATTGACCCCTTAATCATTAAGTAGTGACCTTCCCTGTCCTTTCTGGTGGTTTTGCATTGAAATCTATTTTATCAGAAATTAATATCATCACTCTTGCTTTTTTCTGGTTGTTGTTTGTTTGGTATATTTTCCCCCACCCTTTTATTTTTAGTCTTTCTTTATCTTCATTTTTCACGTATGTCTCTTGTAGACAGTATATTAAATGGATTTTTTTATCCAATCTGCTACTCTTTTTCTCTTCAGTGGTGCATTTAAACCATTTACATTTGGTGTGATTATTGAGAGGCATGGTTTAGTTCAATCATTTTGTTGAGTTCTTTTTGGTGTTGTTGCTAGTTACTTTGATCTATCCTGTTTTCTGTGGCATCTCTGTAAGAAGAACATCTCTTAGTGTTTCCTGCAATGCTGGTCTTGTTTTTACAAATCATCTTAGGTTCTGTTTTTCTGGTAATATCTTGATTTCTCCATATTTGATGGACAATTTTGCTAGGTATAGTATTCTTGGTTGACAGTTGTACTCTTTTGAGTGTTCAATATTTGTCATTCCATTGTCTTCTTGCTTGCATGATTTCTGCTGAAAAATCGGCATTTAATCGTATTTGCTTTCCCTTATAGGTTACTCTTTGTTTCTCCCTTGCTGCTTTCAGAATTCTCTCCTTATCTTTGATTCTGGCAAGTTTGACTATGATATGTCTTAGTGTTTTTCTTTTGAGGTCTATTCTATATGGTGTTCTCTCAGCTTCTTGAATATGTATTCTCTCATTCTTTGTTATGCATGAGAAATTTTCTTCTAGTTCCTTTCTTCTAGTTTCTTTTCCACAACTTTCTTGGTGCTTTTCCTGCTTCTTCCTGTCTGGGTTTCAAATAATACACATGTTCTTTCTCTTGATGTTGTCCCACATTACTCTTAGGTGTTCTTTTTCCTTCCTTTTTGATTCTACTTTTTGTTCTAGCAGATCAGTGGTGATAATTCTATCTTCTGTCTCAGTGGTTCTGTGTTCCATCTCTTTTTTTCCCTGTTCATGTGACTCTACATCATGTTGACAGTATCTGAAACATTGGCCTTGATAATTTGGATTGTTATTTTTTGTTTTTCCAGAGCCTCTAATGCCTCATTTGTTTTATCTGCATTGTTTTGGAAATTTTAAAGCTCCTCTTGGTTTTTCCTTGTGGTGTCGTGTAATTCTTCAAGTTTGTCTTTAACCCATTTAAAATACTCTTTACAAAAGAAAACTGGTTCATCTTTCTCCTGTGGAGAACCTGATCCAAACCACTAACCTTTCCATTAGTAGCCAATGCTCTATTCACTATACCACTAGGACTGCTTGGATTCTTGTTAAGCGGTCCTTACATACTGTAAAATAGTACTATAAAATTTTAAGTTAATTGTTAAGCCTTAACTTTTCAGATCTAAGATCATATCAGCACTAAGCATTTAAAAAAATATAAAACACTACCATTGCACACAAGGAATTTTGGCTATTAGTTTACATATCGGAGAAGGATAATTTTGCTGTGAACTTTGTTAAAAAGAAGATCTATTGTGTGTGCTTTTATTTCTTATATCTTGACATTTTTAGGACATTCACAGGAAACTATAAGCTTATAAAATGTTGGCTAGGTTTAAGGACAAAGAAAAAATATTAAAAATAAAAATTTTGTCTTTTATTTAATAGTAAAACCTATTTTAGGTTTTATAAGTTATTAAGATGCTAGAATAAATTTGTCAAGAGATTTTTAATAGTTAATTTGTGCAGTAGGATTTAGTAGAGTGCCTATGGATAGATATATTTTTAGCTCAGTAAAAAATAAATGAATACATAATAATTTTACTCCCCAATAGTATAATGTAGAATGAGCTCATGTACTTAAAAACCATAATAACTCAAGTATTTTACTATGCAGAGGATAACACAGTATTTCTTAAAAATAATTTCTCAGCCATTTCATTATTTTACCTATGAATTTTGTGTTTTACAGTTATAATATCACACTAGTGGAGAGAAGCTGCAGTGAGTCATTGAAACTCTTTGGAGGTACAGATCATTATGTAGTAGTAACAGTTGATGAGTGTACTGCCATAGTTTTGCAGGTAAAGCTAAAACTAAAAAAATATTAACTGAAATAGATTTTTTCTTTTTATATTAATTTTAATGAAAGTTTACAGACACTTTGGATTTCATTCATTCATTGTTGCACTTTTCCCCCTTGCCCACCCCTAATTAGCTCTTTTCTTTGAAAAGTTAAAGAAAAATTCTTTCATTGTTATACAATCCCTCCCCCTCAAGCCGACTCCACTGTGCTGCTTTCATTCTGGATTCCTGTCATGAGAATAATTCCTAATCATATATCCCTTTTAGACAGAAAATTTCAAAAGGCAGTACGAGATGACAAGGTAAAATATTACAAGGAAATGTGCAAGAAGCTGGAGTCAGAAAATCAAAATGGCCGAACTCGCTCAGCATTTCTTAAGCTCAAAGAACAAATTCAAACCTCGAGGTGCTATAATCAAAGATGCTTAGGCAGAATATTAAATGATCCAGGAAGTATTAAAAGTCACTGTATTGAAAGGAATTGGAAGACACAGTATTGAAAGGAATTGGAAGACACAGAAGTATTAAATGAAACAACATATGAGCAAGAGCCTGTGGTGATGAAGGAAGAAGTCCAAGCTGCTTTGAAGGAAATAGCAAAAAATAAGGCCCCAGGAATAGATGGTATACCAATTGAAATATTTCAGCTAACAGATGCTGCCCTGAGCATGCTCACCAAGTTGTGCCAAGAAATCTGGAGAACCGCCACTTGGCTAACTGACTGGAAGAAAACTATATTTGTTCCCATTCCAAAGAAGGGTGACCCAGCAGTGTGGAAACTATAGAACAGTATCATTGATTTCACATGCAAGCAAGATTCTACTGAAGATTATCCAAACATGACTGGAACAACACATCAGCAGAGAACTGCCAGAAGTCCAGGCTGGGTTAAGAAGGGGTCGTGGTACTAGGGATATTGTAGCTGATGTTAGATGGATCTTAGCTGAAAGCAGGGAATACCAGAGGAATGTCTTATCTGTGCTTCATTGATTATGCAAAGGTGTTTGACTGTGTGGATCATAACAAACTGTGATTGACTCTGAGAAGAATGGGAATCCCAGACACTTGATCATGCTGATGCAAAATCTATACTTGGACCAAGAGGCAGTCATTGGAACAAAGCAAGGAAACACTACATGGTTCAAAATTGGGAAGGGCATATGCCAGGGAAGTGTCCTGTCTCCATACCTTTTCAACCTGTATACTGAACAGATTATCCAGGAGGCTCGGCTCTATGAGGAGAAATATGGCGCCAGGATTGGTGGAAGATCTGTTAACAGTCTGCATTATGCAGACAACACAATCCTGCTTGCTGAAACTGAGGAGGACCTGAAGCGCTTGCTGCAGAGGGTCAAGGACTGCAGCCTTCAGCATGGATTGAGGCTCGATGTCAAGAAGAAAAAGATTCTCGCCACTGGACCAGTTGGCAGCATCAGGATGGATGGTGAAGAGACTGATTATTGTTCACAGCTTTAGTTTGCTTGGCTTCACAGTCAACACTCTTGGCACCAGCAGCCAGAAAATTAAAGGACATATTACGATGAGAAAGTCTTCTGTTAGAGACCTCTCCAAAGTACTGAAGAGCAATGGTGTCTCTCTGGAGACTAAGGTGAATCTGATATAGGCCATGGTCTTTGCAGTCACTTTTTATGCATCAGAGAGTTGGACAATGACTAGAGAGGATAGAAGGAGAATTGAAACCTTTGAGCTGTGGTGCTGGAGAAGAGTATGGAGTGTACCATGGACTGCTAAGAAAACAAACAGATTCATCCTAGAGAGGGTTAAACTGGGCTGCTCCTTGGAGGCAAGGATTCTGATGCTTCGTCTGACATACTCTGGACATGTTGTAAGGAGGGACCTGGAGAGGGACACCATGCTTGGGAGGGTGGAGGGACAGCGCAGGAGGGGAAGACCCTCTATGAGGTGGACTGATTCAGTAACTGGGGTAATCAGGATGGGTGTATCAGAGACAGTGCGATTGGCACAAAACAGAGCAGGATTTAAGGCTGCTGTACATAGGGTTGCTAGGAGTCGCAAGTGACTCAACAGCACATAACAACAACAACAACATATCCCTTTTAAACAGTTGTCTCCCTCATCTGTTTCAATACAGTATACATTATTTATCCCCTCTTTCTCACTCTCCCCTCAACTCCTATGTCAGTCCTCTTTTAAAACAGTGGCATTATGCAGTATTTCTTTTTGTAACTGAGATATTTCACTCAGTGTAATGTCCTCCAAGGTCACTCATTTTGTATACTGTTTCACGAGTTCTTTGTTTTTCAATACAGCATAGTATTCCATTGTGTGAATACACCAGAGCCTCTCTGTGCATTCATTGATTGATGGGCACTTGGGTTGTTTCCAGCTCTTTGCTATTGTGAACAAAGCCACAGTAAACATGGGTGTGCATATATCTTCTTGAGTGGAAGTTATGGTTTCTTTAGGGTAAATTCCCAGTAGTGGAATTGCTGGGTCAAATGAAATTTCTATTTCCAACTTTTTGAGACAGCACCATACTGCCTTCCATAGTGGTTACACCATTTTACACTCCCACCAACAGTGAATAAGGGTTCCAGTTTCTCCACAACCTCGCCAGCATTTATTGCTTGCTGTTCTGTTAAATTTTGCTATTCTGACTGAGGTGAGATGATATCTCATAGTTGTTTTAATTTGCATCTTTCTTAGAGCTAGGGATTTTGAACATTTCTTCATGTGTTTGTTAGCCATCTGAATGTCTTCTTTGGTGAAGTGTCTGTTTATATCCTGTGCCCATTTTTTTATTGGATTATTTACCTTTATCTTGTTGTGGTGCTCAAGTAAAGTCTGGATATAAGTCCCTTATCTGATATGTCATTACCAAATACTTTTCCCCAGTCTGTGGCTTCCCTTTTTACCCTGTTGAAGAAGTTTTTGGATGTGATAGGGATTTGATTCTTAGAAGGTTTTGTTCATCTATTTTATCCTCTCCTGGCTGTTGATATATTAGGATGTTTGGAAGATTGATTAGGACTTCTGGAGTTCTTCCAAGCTTTTCCTTAATGAAGCTTATAGTCCTTGGTTTTAGTCCTGGGTCCATGGTCCACTTTTAGTTGGACTTTAAAAAACAACAACACCAAAACATGAAACAACACTAATTCTTTTATTTCTTTTAAATTTAAAGAAACTTCTATTATAATTTGTGTTAAATATTATTTTCAAAACCCCCAAAACATAATTTGGGAATGACATTTTTCTCCCCTCACTCAAAATCATGACATTCATAGAATATATCCTTGTTGACTGACAAGAAGTTACATTTACTTAACCTGCTATTTGCTATCTCAGGCATTAATCCTACCAAATATTCAATGATTCAATTCCACAAAGATAAGCGAATCTATTCTCTCAGGAGTAACATTTTCAAGTATAAGAGACTTCCCGATACTTGAATTTTCCCTTATTATCCTTCACAAATAGCAACCTTTAATGTGGACATTGACATGCTTATGACCTCTGCCCACCCCTACTCTTAGCCTATCTTTTTATAAACAGTTTTAATGATTTCTTTTTTATTTGAGTGAAGGTTTATAATCACATTGGATTTTCATCCATTCATAGACATTTTGTTTATAACATTAATTGTGTTGTTGTTATATCATATGTGACTTATCTACAATACCTTTGAATTCTGGTCTATCCTGAGCCAATCTCACTGTCTCTGACACACTTGCCCCTATTGCCCCAGTTGCTGTGTCAATCCATCGCATCTGAGGTCTTCCTCTCTTGCGCTGTCCGTCCACCTTTCCAAGTATGATGTCCTTCTCCAAGGACTGGTCCCTCCTGGCCACGTGCCCAAAGTATGTAAGATGGAGCTTCAAATTCCTAGCCTTCAATGAGCAGCCTGATTTCACTCTTTCCAAAATAGACCTATTTGTTTTCTTGGTGGTCTATGGTCATGTTCAATACTCATCTCCAACTCCACAACTCAAAGGCATTGTATAGATTAATTAAATTAATTCATTGCAATGTCTAATTAAAAAAAGATTTCCTCTACAAGTAAAGAATTTTTAAAGTACGTAAATTACGCTTACAGGACCTGATTAAAAGGCTGAGGATGATATTTTACTTTAGAATGTGCGTATGCACACACTCACACACACATGCACACACGTGAGCAACACTTCAATGCAGACACTACTACTTTAGGTTACATTACACAGCATACTGCAGGCTCATACTGAGTAAGAACCAAGCTGGTCCTGGGAGACACTGGGAGTGGAAGGTGTCTGCGTTAGAGTAGTCTTAACTGCATCTGCAGGAACCTCCTGTCTGTCTCCATCCCAACGCCCATGACTGTTCTCAGAAAGACAAGATGGTCTTGTGGATGATCTCTACGGCCTCCTGGATCTCGTCCTCCTTGATCACCAGTGGAGCTGCCAGCCAGATGATATCACCGTGGATCAGCTTGACCAGAAGTCCATTGTCTTGAAGCAGAAGACACACCTTCCAAGCATTGTAATCTTTGCCTTCTTTAATGACCGTGGCATTCAGTAACCCTTTTCCTTGTAGAGCAGTAACCACATCAGAAAGCAGCTTCATGTGTTCACGTCTCAAGAGGGCACCCATTCTGTCTGCTTTTTCAGTCAGATTCTCCTCCTCCAAAACCTCAAGGGCTGTGATGGCCACGCGGCAGCTGAGGGGGTTCCTGCCGTAGGTAGAGCTGTGCTCCCCAGGTTTGATGGAGAGCATGACCTCGTTATCACACGGCACCGCAGAGACAGGGTAGAATCCCCCAGAGAGGGCCTCACCAAGCAGGATCACATAGGGCCTCACATCTTCATAACTGACAGCCAGCCACCAGCCAGTTTTGGCTAAGCCCATCTGGATCTCATCAATGATGAAAAGAACCTGGTGCTGGGTGCAGAGTTCCTGCACACCCCTGAGGTAGTCCTGGTCCAGGATGATGATGTCCACTTCACACTGGATGGGCCCCACCGTGAATGCAGCCACAGTGGGG